GTAAATGAACATTTTCTATATCTAAACTAAAAGATTTCTTTGTGATTCCGTCACAAAAAATGTTCATTGACTAATGACACGTTAATATCCAGCGGTTCGAAATAAACCGAGTTACTTTACGGTTTATCAGAACCATATCAAAATAGCTGTTTAAGAGTAAATTAATCTTTGAAATTTTAATAGATCTTGTGAGCTTATTTATATTCAAATAGGCTTAGTTTTACCATTTTGTATGTCCTTACTAGATAGATAAACTCAATAATATTGATTCGCTATTGATGAATGATTATGAAAACGAAAATATATCAATACTTCACCAATATTTATTGACTATGTTATAATACCTTGTAAATTATCATATATCGGTAAATATATTTCCAACGTTGGTGAATACGAAATTCATTCGAGTTTACATAAATAAAATTGTATATTTTGGGTTTTAAATGAAAAAAGATTCAGAAATATTTTTTCTTTTACGTCACCCTACTCGTAAACGATGAGCATTTAGAGTTCTTTGATAAATGAGATAAAGTTCATCTAGTTAATGAATGAAAAAAAAACATTCGTTTACTCTCATGAATATTATAGAAAAAAACGTAAAAAATATAACATCTTTGATAGTCAAATCGACGAAAAAGTTTGCCGTATTTCATCTTAATTAAATAAAAGAAACATTTTTTATTGCCTTACACATAAAAGATTTGCTTTTGTTTTTAAAATTATAAAAATAACTTCATGAAAATTTCGATTTTATTCAATAATATTGAAGTGAATTAATTTCTCTCTTTGTTTCATTATTTTAATGACATTTTTCGGTTTTAACATTTGAAAACCATACTGATATTTAAGAATGCACTTAATGAAGTAAAAAACAGAAGTCCTGATTCAGAATTAGTAATAAGAATCACGACTCGGGCGGGAAAAAAAGATGGAAAAATCAGATAAAAATTGATAATTTTTTTATTGAAAAAAAATAAAGATTAAAATACCTCTATTTGAACTTTAATAGAATCTGATGTTTTCCCGTTAATTTTTTTATTTCGTCTTATACTAAAATTTCTTATTATCATTATAATAGACTACTGCAATTTAAAAAATTTTAATCGATTAATAAAATTCAATCGATTGGATGAATAAAATGTCTTCAAATTAGAGAACAAAACAAGATTATGAGTAAAAACTTAATTCTATTAAGATAGTGATGTCATTTCAATAAATTTGTTTTTCAAAAAATAATCGATTTTAATCTTTTTTTTTCATGTTTCTACACAAAATGTGATAGAAATATAACAAAGAAAACGAAATGTATTTAGTTCTTTTACTGTGATCTTATTGATCGTGAAAAACTAATTTTGTTCACGGTTTTAAGTTTCTTTTTTTTTTCTTTTCGTGACACTAACTGTATTGATTGACCATGTATGATCGACTAATTACAGCAATAGAAATATATGGGAAAGAGGATTTGTAACGTTACTTTAATCAGCAATAGAGAAAGAATGAGTATCATGAACTCAGTAGGATCACAAGACGTTGGATTCA